CGATCCCCGTCCACACGCTCCTCCGGTCCCTTGCTTAATGGAAGTCATTCAAGCACACGCTCGGGCTGACATGTAACGCCCCCAACCCAAACTGAGCGTAGAATGACAACGGTTGATACAAACTACGAATATCTACGACAGAACATCAATCCAAACAAGAATTGAAACAAATCAAGGCAAACAAAAAGTGCGGTACAAAAGGGCAGAACAGCACACACTGGAGATCTTGACTTAACATCATATCATCTGACCGTGTGCTGTGTATATGTGTATATATATATTAGAATAATTAGTTTCTGTCAGTTATGCGTATATATATATATACACACACCGTGATCAAAAAATCTACAGAAACTTGCACTACATATGTCACGTAAACTGTACAATCAGTTGGACAAAGATGGCCTTATTGGCATTGAAACAATCATCTCGTTGCATCTCATTGCAGGCCAGGCCTGTGATGTCCCCGAAGCCATGACAACGGCAGCTCAAAGGGTGAATCGGGGTATAAAAGCCTGATGCGTGTGCTTTGAAAGACTTTAGGTTTGTCTGGTGCTGTCCTGGCTTCGCTTAGTTTCTGGCAGGCCTCCAACACCTAAGAGTTCGAAGGGTGGGGAGCAATGTCAGTAAGGTGAGGAGTGACTGCATCGTTTGCTGGCTGGTATCGAGGTGTGAAGACGACATTGAAGGCACTGGCACCATGGGAATGAAGACCAGCAAACAGTCGTGCTTCAGGCAGGCAACCAGCAGTGACCTGGTATGTGTCAACGCTCCAGGTACGCAATCCTTCTCTCTCTACATTTAAACCATTGCAAAATTAGGTCTGGAAGTGGGCAGGCAGCCCTGAATTCCAAGGTGCTTTGTGAGCTGTACTAGTGCACCCGGTCAAGAGACAGCTAGTTGCACCAGGAAAGCGTGACCGCAACGACCCAACACAGAGGAATAACGAGGTAAGGAGTCCATCTCCAAGGATCATCAGACTGATGCTAGAACTCTTGAAGACTGTTGGCCCGGTCTCGCTTGCCTGGATTCACCTTCAGTGGACTGACCACTGGAACAAAAGGCGGCCAGTCTCGGTTGCTTAGCATCCAGAAATGATCCGAAACGGTGCAACCAGAAATGATCCGAAACGGTGCGCCAGTGGGTTGCTCCAAAAAGCTGCACCTGCCCTTGCTTGTGGCGCCCTTGCCTTTTCACCATGCAGCGCCCAAGCTGTAGGCACCCACCAGTTCAAAAGGAAACGATCATAGCACACGATTGGCAGGACTAGACTTTTGCAATAACCTGTAAATGCAAATGCTGCATCAACCATCCACTCCGAGACGATGCTCCACACGAACAAGAAGCAGCCCGGTTCACCTGCCACCGGGAGCCCAAAGCAACCAAAACAGAGACAAAACGGCGTCAGACCATCGGTCCAAACAGCGGGGCTTTGACCACCCAAGTCAGTCAAGGGATCTGGAAACATGCATTGCCCTTAGCGACCAAAGAATTGAAATCGCCTGCACGCTGACTGATTGCTGTTTGCAGCAGTCGCAGCGCAGGATTATCAACTACACAGCACAGCCTATCAACAATCAGTGTGTCCAGGCTAGGATGCACACTGTCCGAAGCACGCTATGTTGATATATCAACACAGGAAGAGCGTTGCTTCTGCTCAGACTCTGGCCAATACAACAAGTGTGATGTGTTACAGACACAAGTTCTGCCAACTCTAGAGTCTACAGCTCCTAAGTACCATGTCTGCGGCATTCTGCCGAGAGTCTGCCATCGTCCGCTTGAAAGTCAAGCAAAGAGAGTCTCCTCCTTCTCCAGGTTCGGTCGACCTGCTGTCAAAATCTGTGCTGCGACAGCCTCCTGCTTAGGGTTCTCCTATAGGGGGTTCTCTTTGTACCTATCTATACAGTTAGCTAGCAAGCTAGCTAGCTAGCTAGCTAGCTAGCTAGCTAGGTAGATAGATAGATAGATGTATATGTATGCGGATGTGTATATATGTGTGTGTGTATGCATATATATGTACGCACACATGCATATACATAAATGTACGTATGTATGCGTATGTATTTATCCTTTAAACACGTAGATATGTAGACCAACAGATAGATAGATTGATAGACAGATTTGTATGTGTATGCGGATGTGTATGTGTATGTCTACACTTTTTTATACACATGCATATACATATATGTACATATGTATGCTTTTGTACATATCCCTTTTCATACATAGATGTATAAACTGATAGATAGATAGATAGATAGATAGATAGAGACAGAGAGACAGAGAGACAGGCAGACAGACAGACAGACAGACAGACAGACAGACAGGCAGACAGACAGACAGACAGACAGACGGACAGACAGACAGACAGATAGATAGAGCGTCGTATGAGGGTTCTAATGGGGTGCCTAAACAACGCTTCGCCGGCCTCCCGGCACGGGTCCGGCTCCAGCGGTGTGGCGCTTCCACCGGCACAGGTGGCAGTGGTCGCACAGGAGCCCGTCCTTGCAGCCCTTCGGCTTTGAGTTGTACTTGCAAGGTGGCCTCGGCAGGAACTTTTCAAACTCCGCCGGAGGATGAAGTTCAGACGCCGCAGATACCAGTAGCCAAGCTTGGCTTCCGGCCCACAAGAAAAAGGGTGTCCAATTGAGCCTATGGAAGGATAGTCGCCTTCGGAGCTCGGTCTCTGCATGGCGCCAGGTGGCACGGGCGCATTGATCGAGGATGCTGGGCCCAAGCTGTGCCTGAAAGCCAGTCGGAAGAGACACCTCTCTCAATCACAATGCAGCTTGCTTGCTGTCTTGTGCATGGGGCTCGCACAGGGGCACGCCCAGGTAATTCGGATCGGAGTCCGAGAAGACGCACTCATGGCCTCGACAGGCACGGCAGCCAGGGCCATCGCTGTGGTACCTCTTGCCGTCGAGCAGCAGAATTTGCACGAGGCACCTCGGCGAAGGCGAAGGTCGCAAGGCACGTTCTGCAGCCAACTCGTTCGGGCAGGGCGCCTTCACGACATCCGCCCCTCCGTCGATGAAAACGACAGGCGGGCTTGCCTCGCTACGGGATTGGCAAGTGTGCACAGGAGCCAAGCGGTGACCATGGATCCCATGCCAGGATGCATTTGTTGGGATGTCCTCTGGTTCCAAGGGAAAAGTTGTCGTTGTCCTCCAAAGCGCCTGGAGCTGCCATGGCCACACGCGGGCGCAGGCCTGCAAAACAGTGCTCAGCACCAGGACAAGAAAACTACTGAGGAAACAAAACACTGCAACCACGCGAAGCAAAAGCAAGCTAAGTGTTACAGCCTGCGTGGCTTGCCTACTTGATGATGGCGTGGGCATCGCATTGCGTGTACTGCTACCAGCTAGCACGCAATGTTGTACTGGGAAATTTCGCGCTTTTTCATAAACACTGCTTCTGCATACGCACAACCAAGCTTCGTGATGATGCCACGCAGTGCAGCCGCACCAGACCATCACTCCTGCTAGTCGGGCCTTCGCGCATCCACTTCGGCAAGACATTGGGCATGTCATCATGCAGCACCTGCTGAATGGGCGGAATCACCGGAGTGAGCTTGCAAGCACCGATCACAATCGCACACGCCTCTCCCACTTCAAGCGGACGCAGTGTGGCTGGCTGGTCATCCACATTGGCACGATGTTGTGCTATTCTTTCCTGGCCAGATCTGAAGCAACGAACCGGACCACAAAGCCAGCACCATGGGCTACAAAAACTCTACTCAAGTGACTTCAGATAGCTTCAGAGTCAATAGAGCGCTCTAACCTGTGCTGTGTCTGAGTTAGAGAACACGTACGTGAAGACGTGAACCATCGAAACGATGTGGACTCGTACTCAGCGATGACGGAGGATGGTGCCAAAGGGGGAACGTGGCAACATCAAGAAGGGCCGCTGCCCTGAACCGATGCAGCATGCTCGGGCACGGTGCTCTACTTGTAGCTCAAAAAAGAGGACACGAGGAGGGCAACGGCAGGAAAGAGAAAGAGCCTGTAGGTTTGGGGTTTTCAGGTGGTTTACGGATTAAGGAGTTTAGGCTTCAACGCAAGTCGAGGTTGTTTCCGGCTAAGAGGTCGCCACATTGGCGTAAGACGTTAGACCTTGCAACCTTTCAGTATCCGATGTTTTAGGGTGAGCCGGAGGCAGGGTTTAGGGGCTTCAGGTTTTCTATGCTCAAACTGTTGGGAGTTTAAGAGTCTTGGTTGGCAAACCTGGCGTGGCACAGATGATGCGATGCAGGTATCTACAGGGGCGGCACGTGAACAAGGGAAAACGTCGTATGGTAGAAAGATCTGTAGACTGCGTGGCGAGACAAAGACATCTCTTCACGTACACGGAGCGGGCACACGTAACGGACTTAAACAAAACACGTTTCAAAAAACTGCAGTCGCAGAGAGAACGCACACGATAAACACGGTTAAATCACCGCTTCGGAATGCGGGACTGCAAAGAGGGAAGGCGTGTGCAACACCCTGCCTCCTGAACAAGCCTCTGAAGCTTGGCTTGCAGATCTCGCTTCAATGAGTCGGCATCAAGCACACTCTTCATGGCCTCGGAAGGTCTCTGAAGATTCTGACGAAAGGTCCGGCTCACGCGAGACCGAGCAGACTCAGGAGCGCACAGGCGCGCAGCACGCGACACAGAGCAGAGGAAGGAACGACGACGAAAGCTGGGCCCGGCTTCAGCTCTGACCGGCTCCTCGGCGCATTACCTGGGCGCAAAACGTAAAGCACACGGAGCAGAGATTTCTTGTTGAAGGTCCATCTCCCACTCTGGTTTTGGGACAACAGGTCCCGGACCCTGGTGGGAGCCATGGTATTTTGCAGCTCATGGAGCTTGAGCCAGAGCTGGAGTCGCAGATGCATTTCGCGAAGGATGTCGCCGGCCGCAAAGCTTGTTGAGCACGACCGCTTCTAAAGGATTTGCAACCTCGCGCTGGTCTTTTGGAACGCGGCCAAGTGGTAAGGGACGAAACTGGATCGGGCTGATCGTTGGCCCGCTCCCTGCTGATTACCTATTGCCTGACGGCTGCCAATCTCTAGCCGCCAGCCCAGTCGCACGACAGCGCCTTGATCTCTAAAACAGCTCCACCACGTCGGGGCCGGCTAAAATTCGGAGCTGGGCACGACCCAGACAACGGGTTGAAGCATGATCCTCTTGACGTGAACACTCCAGAACAGGGAGTCTTCAGGTACCTTCAGGCGCCTCAGACGTCCACATCCGCGTCTCTCGCCAGGTATTGAAAGCCACCTGTAGCTGCACGCCTTCGAAAGCGAGGGAATTCTTTGTACAGCACTTGCACCCTGCATTTTGACCATATTCCGATTTTTGCCGATTGCTACCACGAGCATTCCTGCCAATGTTTTACAGCTTGCCAGTCATGTCATTGCATACCGCTCTTACTCGTGGTTCATCTGACTGCTCCCATCGGAGTGCTCTCTAAATGTGGGCCTTTCTGGCTGCGCAGTTGGTAGAGCGTTGCCAGGCTCGCCAATGAGGGCACGTAGGACAGGTACAGGCGCACCTAATACCAGGACTGCATCGGTTTATAACCACTAGCAGTTGAGACGAACGATGGCCTGGCCGCCATCAAGGCCTGCGGCCTGGCAAGGTCTCGCCCGTGGACGTCTGCTAAGGTTAAGTCTCCTCTGGCAACATCTCAGCCCGGCACAGAAACGACTTCGGAGAGGAGTTGCCTTGCCAAGTCTGCATGCTATTTACAGCATCAGAAAGGAAAGATGATGGACACCACATGCCTATCTGATCTGAATCACCAATAGATCAGAATCCCTACCATGACAGGTTCTGGAGGGAAGCCAATGGACACCAGATCAGCCGCAGGAGGCAGGGACAAGAAAATGCATGCCAACAGCATTTGAAGGAGAAGACAGCGAACGATCGAAATCAGAGGATAGAAACAAAAGCCTGTAAACCTTCTCGTGGGAAATGAACAGAATGAGCAATCAATGGAGGGGCATGTAGACAAAGATATGCCATGTAACGGGATACATAGAAAGTGTACATGAGTACGTTGCATGCAGTATCCATTACGTGGCCATCGTGTTGCTGCGTAGGACCCTCGCAGTCTTCACATGTGCAGCCTTGAGCATGGAGCGGTTGGGGCTCTGGCATGTGCTTCTCTTGCGCAGCTAAGCCATTGTCCTGTAGCATACTGGGGGCTTGTTATGGCCGTTCAAGGCTGATTTCGGCCTAAGGGCTTCAACTTAGGCTGCCGGGCTCAGAGATACGAGTGAAGGAGTCAAGGATCGACCGCGCAAGCTTTCAGCAAATCCAAAGCATTGCGAGTCCAGCGAAAAAGGGGCTAGCCATGTGCGGCAGCCGGCATCGGCCCCCAGCGCCTCGGTTCCATACTCGGTGAAAATATGGGGTGCCTGCATCCTTAAAACCTTTCTGCGAGCTGTGTCATCATAAATTCCGATTCAACCCGATGACCCCACACAAAAGCTAACCCTCAGCACTGACTCGTAAACCCTCAAGTCTTATACCCTGTGACGGAACAACCCTACGAGAAATTGGCCCTTTCTGCAGACCGGCAGCAACGAAGCCACGGCTATGTCCTGTTGAGCTTGAGCTTGAGGGTACATGGGCGGTGTAGCTCTGAACAAAAGCGTGTTGAGAGAAGCAAGGTTATTGAAATACATTCAGCAATTCAGCATTTCAAGTACTAAGCATCTCAATTACATCTTTCCAGTACGAGGCCTACAACAATGCCGAACAGCAAAGGATGCTATATTGAAGCGTGGTCGGCTGAACACCCGCATCATTACTTGCACCGTTCAAGTTCGTTGGACTTACATAATAGGTTCGTTGTACAAGCTGTTGATTTGTTCACTTCATTGGATTGGCAAATTCGCATGGTACGGCTAATCAACCCTTGCATGTCCTTGAAGACATGCGACTGCTGTGAGTACGCTTCCAAAACAGCTACAACCCTGCCGGTCTCGTTAGCCAACTAGACAGACAGCTATGCCTTGTCGATGTGAAGTCAGTACTCGGTAGGCGAGGGAAAGATTTGTACCAGGGTTTTTCCATCGATAAACAACACGTCCTCATTCAGTTTGTGCAAGTCCTCGAACAAACGAGCAAACGGCCTCTCAAACTACATGTAAACAAAAGAGTACTCTAAGAGCTTCAGCGTCCTCAAAGTGTTCTTTCAGTTGGCTTGTTCGCTAGGAATGTCCCGAAAAACTGAACACTGGTATCGCACTAATACAGATCGGACGAACCGGTTGAACCGGTTTTGATATGCACTTCTTCACCAGCCAGTTGTTGTGAGACCCCAACATCTGCGATAGTCTTTCTCACACTCGCTGGGGCCATGAATTGGCCAAGTACTCTTCGGTCATCTGAATATGTTACACTGTCACACATTTACAACACAAAAAGTACAGCCGTAGCTAGCTAGCTGTCTTGGTTCACGGAAAAGAGCTGCACGATCTGGTGTAGTGCTGCAGTGCTTATGGACAGAGCATTAGAAAGGGGCTGTTTGGGAGCTTAGGATTGTTACAAGGACACGGAAAATGCCTCCGGCATCATGTATATTCATATTTACATGTGTTTCACAGTTGCATTTAGGTTTGTACTTACGGATATAGTTATAGTTCTGTGTGAACTATTCTATGTTTATACATAACAGTGAAACGGTGAAATGGTAAATTGGTGAAACGAGGGACGGTTTGGGTACCAAGCCACTCGAAAATTGCCTGCTGGCTTGACGGTTTCGGGCCCACTTCATCAGATTTTCGAGAGTTTAGTTGTGAGAAAGAATGCAACTGCATTGAAGCTAAACAAGGACTAGGAGAATACATGGTCCTAGGTTTCCGGTAACTGCTTGATTTTCTTGAGGCATGGCGTGTTTTTTGAAGAACAATTCGCATATTCCCGGACCATAGATGCTAATATATGCATATTCCTGCGACTTTTGCAGGCAGTGACTCAATAAGCTACACTGTCACAAGAGTCTCCCTGCCCCTTGATCTACACATTACTGCGAGACGGGGGAGCTGGTCATCGCCCGCGTTGCGGTGTGGAGGTCCCATCAGGATATGGATGGTGCTCCAAGCAGGGGCACAGGCATTATGACTCTGCTTGCCGACTGGTAAGAATACGTGTGGTGAGCAAGTTATTTTAATTTTGCAGCTTACAAACTTTTAAGTTTCCTTACTCGGTACATAAAAATTCGAATGTTTCTTAGCAACGATATTTCCAATTAAACAGGAATGCACTGTGAAACCCCTTCCGGGAGTGGCACGGTGCCTTGCAAGCAATATCGGCTTTGAAAGGCCATGATACAATGTAGTTTAGTGTTGGCATCAGTGCGAGAGCATAGAAAATTCACGAAAATGTAAGGGAACACGGTGGGATAATTCTGGGAACCGTGTATTACCACTGTTATTCCAGAACGAGGAATAATGTTCTGGACTGGGACAATGGCTTGAAATAGGGCTCCAGTAAGTAGGACACAAACATACATGTTGCAGGGCATGGGAATAGCAACGACAACAGAACATGCAGGAGACAAGGCTGATATTAACTTATTGCAAGGACAAGCGGCATTTTGCATCTTACAGACTGGTTACTCTCTCACAATTAGGACAAGCAAGACGAGGTCATGGTTCGCAGACGACCCTACGAGATGGTTCCGGTATGCTGATACAAAACGTGCCAAGCTTTTCATCACTCGATATATACAACCATTGTCAAAAGCATGGAGACTATATCGCCCTAAGAGGCGACAGTCTTTATTATCCCAATGAGAAACAATATACAACGTTGGCTACACGTGTGAATGCATGTTTTGTGTGGCACAGCCATTAAAAGGAATTCGACATACGAGAGTTTAAAAGCAATCGCATAAGGGAAGAGAGCTACGTTAGGGAGAGCTGTATGTAGCCAAAGCTCCGTAGCAATGATTAGAAAGACAGAAACTCTACCGGGATTGCGGCAATACACTACAAATGTGGAAAGCTGGTAGTTCTAAACATCTACTTCGCCCCAGGACATGGATGAAAAAGGCGAAAGGCGCATTTGCTAGTAAATTGGATATACTGATATACAAGGATTTTTGAACTACGGACAAGTATTGACGGCTCCAAAGCAAGGATTTACTACAGTTCACCGGGGTTTCCATGGGAGTTGTGTAGAATTCATGACGTTGCACGGGATTCGTCAGCATTCTGTATGTATGGATTGTCAAAATGATACGTGCAAGTAATCAGGATTTGCAACACGGGGATGCTCCTTTAGCATTTCGGTTGGGCAGTATACTTTGCCCCGACTGAGCATGGAAACTTCTCGGACTAGTCTCCAGATGTCTCCTGACTAGGTTTGCAGGGATGGTCGTGGATGCAACGAGAACACGGGCTTCGTAGGGGGATGATACCTATCACAAATAATAATCTTCCATAGAACTTAGATACTGAGTCTTGCTGTTGGGCTTGATTTGGGCACAAAGCTCTGTCAATTCATGGTGGCATATTGGCGTCGGTCCAGAATTGAGGGTTTATAAACTTTGATTGGATTTATAAACTGCGCAGCTTTCAAACCAGTTCCTGGTTCCACAAAGAGTACAGCAGTGCAGAAATGAATGCGGGGATACTATGCAGCCTATGTATATACATATGTAACCATGTACATATGTAGATATGCCTATTAATAGCACTGACATTTGTATGTGTATATATTTATTTATGTTGATATATGCACCTGTATATTTATGTGTGTGTACATATATATATATATATATAAATATGGTACCCCCCCCCCTCATGTACCCACGCCTCTCCCTTCTAAATGTCAGCTTTCGGTTCTGAAAGCGGCGGTCTTTGGGATACCCTCGCCCGAATCATTTCCGAATCATTTTGGTTCTGGCTCCGGCTCGGATCCAAGATCCAAG